TAATATTATTATATTATTATGATTAATATTATTATTTATATTATTTTTATTATGCGTTAAAGGAATATATGTTTACATTTTTGTTATATATGTTAAATATAATAATTACAAAAACATTTTTATTAAATATAAATACTGTATATCTAATATACATAAATAATATGAAATATGCATGAAATATTTTTTTCTACATAAATATACTACTTTATTTATTCCCTATTGGTGCTACCTAAGTATTTTTTGTTAAGAATTTTAAAGCATTAATTGTATTATTTGTATTTAAATTTAATTTTTATTAAAGTTTCTTAATCTTGTAATATTTTTATAAATTTTATATATTCTTAATATATTAATTTTTATATTTTCAATCTATTTATAATACTTACTTAATTGTTGTTTTTATTTTATGAAAGACATATTGCAACGTTTTTTTTACATAAAAGTTTTTATAGAAAATATTTAATAATGTTAATATAAGTTAAATAATAATAAAAATAAAAATTGTAATTGATTCTACTTTAATTTTTACGAATTTATTAATTTTTACAGTTTATAAATTTAAAGAAATTTGCGGGAATGGATGATAAATGTCGGACCAATCACAAACCGGGGAGAAGGTGGCCAGACTCTTATTAGAGGGTCACTACCCAGTAGCAGTAGGGAATGAGATAAGAGTCCCTAGAAGATCTACTACCTCCGTATTCATAGTCAGACCTTATACTTAAAGCGGGGAGCACAGACTTTTGCATAACGCATAGAGCATGTGCATAAGGAATTTGATTGGTCCATTTTCTTATGCATGAGTCAATGGACCAATCAAATTCTTTATGTATATGGTTTATGCGTTATGCAAAAGTCTGTGCTCTCCGCTTAAGGCTACCTTAAATTTATTTTTAGATACTCAGTAGCCAATAAAATAATTCGTAGACACAGATGTCTATACTATATGTATAGACATCTGTGTTCGTAGGTCATCTGAAGATAAATTTAAGGAAGCCTTAAGTATAAGGTCTGACTATTGCCTGGTTTATGCTTCAGTTGCGGGATTCTCTAAACGTTTTAAACGATGATTGTCGCTATCATTAACTAGCGACAGCCAGTGGCAGGACAATCCTAAAAGAAAGCGCGGCTCTCATTGGCTGTCGCTAGTTAACGATAACAACAATTATCGAAAAAACGTTTAGAGAATCCCGTAACAGGTCTTAATCCCAAGATCCTAAAATTCAACCAATAAAGCTACCAGTTCTAACCGAAATTTAAACTCTATTGGCTGAATTTTAGGATTAAGACCTTAAGACCGAAGCATAAACCAGGCATATGAATACGGGAGCTAAAGTCATAATGGCCTGGTTTACATCGTGCACTTGATACGCGTACTAACAAGTTACTTTCTATTAAATTATCTTAATTTCAGCAATGTATTTAAAGAATGATGTATAAAATTGATATAATACGCCTCAAAATGTTTAACTAAATACGTTTATTGTGTATACATTTACATATATCGCCGAAATTAAGATAATTTAATAGAAAGTAACCAGTTAGTACGCGTATCAAGTGCACGATGTAAACCAGGCCAATCACACTAGCGATTGCGCGATTGTGATTGACGATTGAGGATACTTTTCAACCAATCGGAGCAAAGCAGTCACCGATTGCTTTGTTCCGATTTGTTGTCACGTGACCAATGTGATTGGTCAATTCTTCTTTCATCCGAGAACTCAGTCCGAGTTCTAGCATCGTGGACACAAGGCTTAATAGGGAGTCTGGCCAAAGAGATGTCATCACTCTCATTGGCTAAGAAAGAATATGGCGAAACCTATCAAAAATGCGTACTTATTCCGGTGTATTCGATTTCTGATAAGTTGAAACTTATCGCTATCGTTATTCCCTCGCATTGGGCGCATTCAGCGGATTCAACAGTTGAGTGAGCGCTCGCTATTATTGGTGTATTCTTCCAGATCTAAAATTCTGATTGGATGATCTAAAAGAATACACCAATAATAGCGAGCGCTCACTCAACTGTTGAGTCCGCTGAACGCGACCATTGGGCGCGTTCAGCCGATTCAACAGTTGAGTGAGCGCCCGCTGTTATTGGTGTATTCTTCTAGATATAAAATTCTGATTGGATGACCTAAAAGAATGCACCAATAATAGCGAGCGTTCACTCAACTGTTGAGTCCGCTGAACGCGCCCATTGTGTCTAGTGCCTAGTTCGATGAGCGATAAGAACTCTGCTTTAAGGTGCTTTTTCATGCGCAGCACGCTGCAGCAGCAATTCGTTACTATTGGTTAAGAATTTTATGTAAGCTAGATGACGCACTTCCGGCGCAAAATACATTTTGCCGCAGTTCGTTGAAGTTGAACCGAACGAACAGCAAGCAGCAAGCGGCAAAATCGAGGCAATATTATTTATTGCAATAAATATTAGGAAAATAAACGAAGAATGGCTTCGGATAAGGTACGAATGTTTGTAAATTAGATCATTTTATACTTTACACTTTACTTTTTCAAATTTGTGGTAAAGTATAAAATGATCTAATTTACAAACATTCGTACCTTATCCGAAGCCATTCTTCGTTTATTTTCCTAATATTTATTGCAATAAATAATATTTTCATAATGAAACGACGGACATATTGTACGCTTTCTCGATTTTGCCGCTTGCTGTTCGTTCGGTTCAACTTCAACGAACTGCGGCAAAATGTATTTTGCGCCGGAAGTGCGTCATCTAGCTTACATAAAATTCTTAACCAATAGTAACGAATTGCTGCTGCAGCGTGCTGCGCATGAAAAAGCACCTTTTACACGTCGTGTGAGCCCAGTGTGAATTAGGCATTAAGCGGGGAGCACAGACTTTTGCATAACGCATAAAGCATGTGCATAAGGAATTTCATTGGCCCATTTTCTTATGCATGAGTCAATGGACCAATCAGATTCTTTATGTATATGGTTTATGCGTTATGCAAAAGTCTGTGCTCCCCGCTTTAGACTTTCGATGCTACGATAGTACGATACGAGTAATGGGCTCTGTGGTGAATGATGGTGAGCAAGTAATGAGGTGAATAAGTCGCGGCGTGTTATATGAAGTACACGCAAGCGAGTACGACGCACGATGTGAAATATATAATGGTCGGAAAAGATTCTTCACCATTTTCCTGGATAAGTGGATAACGCATATACGAGCGCGCGCGCGCGCGCGCGCATGCATGCCGCATGCTGTTGCGTTTGGTGCGTTTGGGAGAGTGTGGGAGAATGCGGGATAACGTGGCTCCCGACTCAACCAGATTTGATCGCCAGCGGGACTTGAGTCACTGTTGCAGCTGTAATTCGCGTACGGAAGAGGTGGAAGAGGCAAAGGCGAAGATCCTCGGAAATCAGAATATTCTTTGCCATGTTTCTCTCTCTCTCTCTCTGTCTCTCTTTTATGGTTGGTATGTCTCGCGCTTTTCTTCGCGCTCGTGCAAAGTTTATCTCTGTCAATTCGTCACCGCGATAGTGCGAGGGTGACAACGTGACAACTTTGCTGAGCCCGACGAAAATCGCGTTTGATCTATCGTCTTCTCGTCCATCGTATTTTCGACTCTCGTGATCGTCGCCCACGGCAATAGTGAGCGACAGCTGACAACTACTATCGCTGTTTATTGAACTCACAAAGCCTAAGCGTGCCCGAGTTCTGATAACACTTGTCTCGATCTAACAGCTCAACGGGATGTCCATTAATCTAAGCGAGGTCGATCCATTTAGTGAGACGCCGATGGAGCTGCCAATTGAGCAAGAATCCTATGAAGGTACGGCAAAGCACAAGACATCCAATTTTTCACGTGATGTGACCGTTATATATATATATATATAAACGTTATTAAGTACTATCAGATGCTATTGTTTGCTTTTGTATGCATTGTATGCTATTGTATGCTATTGTATGCCATTGTATGCCAACGTCCATCGCATTAATTGTTCAGCGAACTTGACAGTTAAATAAACATGCGTTGCTATTCTTCTGTAGATCTAAACGTCTGATTGGATGATCTAGAAAGATTCTAGAGGGATATCAATAACAGCAAGTTTTTACTCAACTGTTCAGTCTGCTAAACACAGCTATTAGCAGAGAAAATTGATTTGTAAGCGTTTAGTGATTCTTTGATATATAAAATTAATTTCTACACTTATCTAAAAGTAAAAACCAATTATAAAATAAATTAAAGAATTACTGACAATGAGCTTTCACCAATCAGTTTTCTCTATGCATTGCGCAGTCATCATTTATTAACTCACTTATCGTGAGTATATAGTTGGGAATTAAGTTAATTAAAATTTATTCATGTCGTTTGATAGATCGAGTTTGTTTTTATCTATTTAGATTTTTTTTTTTATAACAATACGTAAGTATTATTATTCCAAAAATAATAATCTGTATAAATTTCAGCGAAGATCGTGTAAACATTTACATAAACATCTATTTAAAAGAAAAAGTATTTATTTTAATTTTTTGACGAGTATATCTTTTCTTGTCAATTATTTAAAAAATGTGTAAATAATTCTCAACTCTCATTTAATATTTAATTCTACATTTTTCTGTTTTGTAAACATCCATGCACGATAAAAATCGGAGTGTATAAAATTATAATAATTTTATTTATTGTTTTTATTAGTATTTGTTAATATTATCGCTAAATATTAAGAATATATGAGGTGTGTAATGATTAGGGTCCGGACGTTCGGGCTCGGTCACGGGCTCCGCACGGAGAACCGCTGCGTGCGAGTGAGACGCTTGTTGAAAAAAACTCCGCGCTTTGTTTATACATCGAGCCAGCGGTTCTCCGCGCGGAGCTTGTGACTGAACCCGAACATCCGGACCCTAGTAATGATTTAATTTTTATCTCGTGTACAAAGATGACCAAGCAATAGTGGAGGAAAGTCCAAAGAACAATATAGAACCTAATGCTGTGAGTGAAGTAGATTATGCCGAGCCTTTGACCCCGGAAGAAATACGATGGTTTTATAAAGATGGCGTTGACAAAAAGTGGAATGAATTTTGCGGGTACGACAGTTTAAGAATTGAGAGAATTTATCGAGAACGTCAGAGTTTAATTAGCGAAAGTAATGATGGAACAAATGGTTTGCCATCCGCTGAAAAAATTGTGGTTAGAGGTGGCATGTACGATGTCGAAATAGATAATATGAAATGCATTTCGATATATTGGCCAGGTGAATATCATATATTTTATTTTTTCTTTTATTATTACTAGTTGTATTCTATTCTTTACACCGTTACATATTTATCTATTATAATTGCCTTTGTCTATTGCCCAAGTCAACTCGTGTAACACAGAGTTTATACACAAGTGCTTGCTAACTTTGTAAGTGTTTGCTATGGGGTAGAGGAAATGCCAATGGTAGTGAATCAACAATTAATACGAATATCCATGAATGCCTTAATAATGATTCAATGCCTCCTTATTGTATACATTTTTCTTTCGATATATTTTTCCATTATACTACATGCAGTAATGTATGTTTTTGTACTGCACAGATGATTACTTTATCTTTGAAGTTATTATCGCCAGTTCGTATTGACTATGCCTATTATGATTTATTAAACTGAACATGTGCGAAACAAATATAACATAGCTAATAGATTCTATCGCTGCGTAATAATAAGGAATTTATTCAGAGCTCAGTAAAATATGTTTTATTATTTACATATGTCACAATCAAAATGCTATTGTAATTTAGTAAATGTATTCACGAGCATTGAAAACTGTTACGAGTAACAATTTAACTAATTACACACGCACGCACGAATGCACACACAATGCGTGCGCACGCGTATATATACAATATATGTATATAGGGGAGAATGTCCTAAATCGGACCGTGTTCCAAATCGCACCTTCTTAATTTAAATATGATAAATACGGTTAAGCAGATTTGCGTGCTATTTATAATGTAAAGTCCTTATAAGACACCGAACAGCCATTTGGCAGTACTCTGTCATAACGTTCATAGAATAGACGCAAATATGTATTTTCGGGTATTATGCGAAAATTTTTTTAAAAAAGAAAGTCCTTGTAAATCATTATTTAAAAGATGTTAAAAATTTAAACGGTAACTTATTTAAGATAATTAAAGAGTGTAGGATTAAAAAATATCAAGAGTTTTGTGATTACTTTTGCGGTTTATTGTAAAACTTGTTCCAATAGTTTGAAAGAACCCGTGTCCAAATCAGACCTCTCTTTGGGTGTCCAAATCGGATCTATACAAAAAACACTAAAAAGACGAGTGAGCCGCAGTTAATTCATCGAAGACAGAAGGTTCACCATAACCTGGTTGGTTGTAGTACTGGTGATCGACCGACTAGATCTAGTCTAAGGAAATTAATAAAATATAATATCATATGTCATTTAAACTCAGATTGATGGAATTTTTTATTGATTTTAATTCTAATAATATAAACTGTATTTTTAACTTGGAGTCTTAAATTGTTCGTTTTTACTCAATACTAATTAAAATTAATTAAAATATTTTAAAATTCTATCTAAAAGTTCATAAAAGTAGGAGGTCCGATTTGGAACCCATTCAAATCGGACCGGAAAAGTCTCCACCTCCTCCTCTGTCCGCATTCAAGGCCATTAAAACTTTTTAACATCCTCTCTCACCTTTCACTCGCACCTCCACCATCTTCGTACTGGGAAGAATTACAACCATAATATAAGCTAATGACAGCGGAATCTTAAATTTGGAATAATTCAGCGAAAAATGATCGTATTGAGGTCGGTAAAAAAGCATTTTAAAGATAAAATTCTATACTTTCTCGTACATGTTGTACCATTAAGCGGCGACACCTGATTCACACCATTTTTCATGTTGCTACTTTGTCATCAGCCGTTTTAAAAATAATCGCCTAGTAAAATTCTCATTCAAATAATCTTAAAGTTATTCAAGCTTCATTTTGCTTTTTTTAACATATTTTCATCTTCATTATTTACCAAGTTACGAATAAGTCATTTGAAATTTGGTAAATTTTTCCCAAATTTATAGTCTACCGCTCTTTTTGCATTTGAGTGTATAAATTATTACTAGTTTTTTGACTACAAATATAGTAGCCTTTGTAAATTCTTGTTGAAGGTGAAGAGTGGGAAATTATAAGAGGTACATGGTATTACGATGGCAGTTGGATACCCTTAGAAGCAGAACATTCCGAAGTAATAGAAAAGATACATCTTAAATTATTCCAAAAAGAAAGCAACAATCAAAATATCATTACGTGTGATACAAATCCTCCTCAATCCTGTAAAGGTATACTCTTTTCATAGTCTTTATTTTCTTAATTTTCTTACTTGTGCACATGTTCTTACATAATGTCCTTACATAAATTTTAAAATGTATCGCATTTTCAGTATTACATACTGAGCAATTCCCAGAGTTTCACGTTGATTGGCACTCGGTTAACGATGTGACATTATACAGCGAATACACACCTACTAAATTGATGCGTAGCGTTACATCAAAGTTGGGTTTTGCTAAAAGTAAGTTTAGAATTAGTAATAATAAAAATATTGAAACCATTCTTGTATTTTTATGTATTATTTTAATACATTTTTTTCTATTTTAAATTGACAGCAACAGGCTATCGATTAAAAAGAGGCTACAAAGTACGTACAAATATGGAGGATAAGCCACGTGATATTGATCATTTAGTATTTGTTGTTCATGGAATAGGACAAAAGCGAGATACAGGGAAAATTATCCGTAATACCACATGGTATTAACAGTAGTGATCATTTTTGTGCAATATATAGTGTTCCACAAAAAAATCGATAAATTTTTAAAATGTTCTGCAGTCACTATTATAGTATTCGTATTAGTTATGTCGACAGTCTTTAGATTTGAATACTATTTATATAATTATTTAAACAATTGCACTACGAGTGTGTGAATATTGGTAATTTTCAAAATATTTCAGATCCGCTTACGAAATTCGATTCAGAATCGTTTGTAGTGCTTTTGCTTTCGTTTGTAGTATCCTCAAGTGGATTTGAGATATTTTGAAAACTAACAATTCACTCGCGCGTGTGGTACAATTATTTAAATAATTATATCATCACACGGTACAAATGAGAGCAAAAGCACTATTACAAACATCTACAAACGATTCTAAAGGATATACCGCAAACGGATTTTGAATATCTTGAAAATTGACGAAGTTACATTTTTCGTTTATTGTTAATTTATCATATCTTTTGAACGGCTTAATTACAAACGACGGGAAAATCACTACAAATAACGACTAATGATTCTAAAGGATATACTGTAAACAGATTTCGAATATCTTGAAAATTGACAAAGTTAATTTTTTTGTTTATTATGTTAATTTATTATAACTTTTAAATGGCTCAACTACAATCGACGGGAAAATCACTACAAACGATTCTGAATCGAGATATATTACAATTTTTTTTATGTTGAAGTCGGGTTACAATCATTTTTTTTTAATCTTTATATTTTTTAGTATGAGTAACTAGAAATGAAATTATTGTTACTACAAACGAAATACTATCGTTTTGTGTATAAAAATTTTAATTTTTTAAAAGTCGGGTGCCAGGTTCACAAAGGTGGAGGTGTAGAATAATACTTAATATCGTGTATGTATAACAGAGGAATAGTACATTATTTTTAAAACTTTGATTGTTAATAATTTTTTAACGAAGAACGAGCGACGGGTAAAATCTGTTGAAAGTCATTTAGGGTCATGACCTTTATAATATATGTCAAGGCCGAGGTCATCGGAGATGTCTCTCCTAAACAGGAGTTTCATCAAGTTGACTAACAATTCAACAATTTTTTTATGTTCTTTGCGCATCTTTTTAGGTCGATCCTAATAATGTTTGCGAAAAATATTACCTTGGCCGGGAATCGAATCGAGATGGCATTTCATGCGAGCGTCCTAAGCCTTTAGACTACCGAGGCCTTAGTAATATTCTTTGCAATAATCAGTATAAGTAAGAACGTCTATTTTGCAGGCGATATAAATAAACAATATCTCAACCTTAATATGTTATTAAAAGCATTCATCTGAGTAAATTTTAGAAAATTTCAACCGTCACTTGTTCTTTATTTATTAAAAAAGAAATTATTAAAAATTAATTTAAAAATTATGTTTATAATTTTTGCAACTTTTCTCTGTAAAAGATGTATCTACGATTAATCGATCGATTAAGGGGCTACTCCATCAAGAAAGCCTCAAAATTATCTTTTTGGGAATTGATTACTAAAAGGTTATATATGCGATACAAAAAATGTTTAAGTATCTATGTATTGCTTATACCTTGGTACATATATAAAACAATTATAATGTATTTTAGAAGTTTGTCAGTTTTTTCGTGAAACATTTTGTATAATACTGTATATTTTTATAAAATAGAAAATATTGTTTTTAATATCAATAAATTAGTTTTAGAGAGTGTGTGGATTGGCTTAAGCAAAAATACTTTCCAAATTCTAAACACAGAGTAGAATTTTTTCCAGTTGAATGGCGGTCATCGTTAAAGTTAGATGGAGGTAAAATGTAAATACCGTACAGCACTAGCATTTAATTAATTTTACCGAATGTGCAACCTCTTCTTTCAGATATAGTAGACGCAATTACACCTTACAGTGTATTGAGCATACGTCACTTGCTTAATACATCAGCAATGGATATTTTGTATTATACAAGTCCTCTATATGGTGCTGAAGTCCGAGCTGGATTACAAAAAGAGTTAAATAGTTTATACTGTATGTTTGCGAATCGGCATCCCGATTGGCAGGGAAAGGTTTCAATTTTAGCGCACTCCTTAGGATGTGTAATTGTATATGACATAGTTACAGGCTGGATAGGACCTGACACGCGACTCTCATGTCCGCAGACGCAAGAAGTTTTATCGCAAGGATTGCAATTTCCTGTAAGCAATTACATGGGAAGAGATTTACTCGTTTTAAGTAAAATTTGTTTCATATAAATAAAAATTAATAATTAGTATCTGCTCATATAAATTAAAAAAAAATTTTTTTAAATAAGTATACTCTTTCCGGGTCAAAAAACAATGAGTTTTTGACATTCCAAGTTCAGAAACGTTATCATTTGTACGTTGCTTTCTACACAGTAAGGGTGCAAACCCATGCAGCGGAATAGCGTAACGCGGAACGAGAGTAGAACCAATCACGAGATTCTCTAGAAACACGGAATGCTCGTTATTGGTTCTGCTCTCGTTCCGCGTTACGCTATTCCGCTGCATGGGTTTGCACCCTAAGACGTATAATTTCAAGTTGCATTAAAACATTTTTTTAGTGAATAATTACCTTTTATAATGTAAGTGTTCAATATTTAATTTGTTTTACATTCGTTTCATAATCGTTTTTACAAATTGTTAATTTCTCAACTTATGCTGTTCATCCTACATATACAATCTCGACGTCAGGAAAACCAAATATTTGCTTTATGTAATTTTATTTTTGACTAATTGACTGGAAATCTCTTATTTGGATTAACCTTTTTCGCCGAAAAACGAAGAATGGATTATAACAGTTTTTTATTTCATCGTTCAAGTAAATTGACTACAATTCAACATTAGAGCAATTAGTTTACAACGAATAATAAATCTTGCGACATGTTAGGGTGTACTTTTATATATTTAAGAATTGCAATTGTGTAATTATGCCTCTTTGACATTGTCATGTGAACTTATTATTAGTTTGGGGTTTTGATGCGGCTGATGATGACTTTGTAAAGTCGAAACGTTCCGAATTAGTATTATTGATTGTAATAAATTTATCGAGCTCTAATAACAAATATAGCTCATTGTTTTTTGACCCAGGAAGTATACTTATTTTTAAAAATTTTCATATAAATAATTTTCTTACATAGTCCGTATAAAAAGTATTGAAATAATTTTTAGAAACAATTTCCTTGTTACTAATAAATTTTTTATAATAACATAATTATCTTTTAAAGTAAAAATTTTATTTAATAAAAAGAAGTAAAAGTTCAATAATATTAAGAAAATGTTATTAAGGAATATTTATGTACCATAAAATAAAAGTTTTATTGTTGAAAGTAATTAATTTAGAAATTGTAATTTAAAAAAAAAGTATATTTACTTCTAAAACAGGTAACAATTTCTATGTACAATTTTTTGAGATAATTTTTTGAATAACAATGGAAAATACTTCAATACAATTTAAAATTTAAACAGTTTACAAATTTTGCGTAAATTATTTCCAATTATTAGAATTATACCAAGTGACAATTGTTTTCCCATTTACAGATTGAAAATTTGTTTTGCTTGGGTTCGCCGTTATCCGTATTTTTAGCTCTGCGCACACGTACTCCATCTAATAGATTAGATGTAATGCCACAAAGTTTATGTAAGAGATTTTATAACATATTCCACTGGTCCGATCCAGTGGCTTATAGAATGGAGCCGCTTTTGGAAAGGGGTTACAGCAAAATTGAGCCAGTTCTAATACCACCATACGGAGGAATTGATGGTCAGCAAATACCACAATCGCCTTTATCACTGAACAACGTCGATCCAACTCTACCACCTACAGGTATTTTATTTATCAGCCTTTTTTATTATTACATTTAAATATCTTTTATGGCATTTGAAATATAATTATGACATTTAGAAGTTTGAAATATAAAATCTAACTAATTTTATGTTTTTTAAAAATAATATTCTTGTGTTTTCGGTTTTGCATTTGTTTTCTAAAATATCCATATAAAATTAACAACTACTTTGTATATAAACTTCTATTTATACTTCTACATAGACATACATATTACAATGCAGTTATTGTAATAAACATTTAGTTCAAATTAATCTACATATAAATAATGAGGAAGTATTTTTATTTGTAAACTGTATGCATAAGTCAAATTAATTATAACATTTTAATAAAACTGAGTTATAATAATTTTTATGTAAAAAATCAATAAACTAATGTTTTATATTTGCAAAATGGACGTAAAGTTTAAGGAGATCCTAAAGACGATTAGTTATATTGAAAATAGCACATACAGACGATTACATGTTATTGGGTGTATTCAATACGACGACTGAGAGCTCAGTGAGCTCCTGTATCTCTTTGGTCTACATTTTTAGATTTAACGGAATATGCCAGTCAGATGCAAGAGCTCACTGAGCGTTCAGTGAGCGATCGTTGTACTGAATACACCTATTGACACATCACTATATCAATATTTCACTCACGCACGCCACACATATACATAAATTTTCGTATCGCGATTACGAAACAACATGTATTAATGTGTATAGTTTAATCATGAAAAAGAATTTTCATGTAAAAAAAATGAATGAACTATGTTTGCAAAATGAACACAAAGTTTAAAATTATAATGTATGCTCGTATAATTGCAATAATAATAAATTTAAAGGGATCCTAAAGACGATTAGTTATATTGAAAATAGCACGCACAGACGATTACATGTCATTGGAATCTGTGAATGACAAAAAAGTATTTGCGATATAAAAATTATATGATTTATTAGTCGCGGTAATATACCTAATACGACGACTTTTAGGTCAATCGGAAAGTTCCGTCCGTTTAGCGGCGAATATCTATAGCTAGAACTGTCGCGATAACTCTAACGTCTAAATTAAGCTTAATTTTTTAGTTTTACCATCTGTCAATAAAATTCATTATATAAAAGTATACATTTGCATCTATAATATTGTTTCTTATTACATCGAAAATGTCGAAATATGAGCCAAATAAATATCATTCGTGCAAAGTGTTAATCTTTTGTATCAAATGGAAGAAAACTGCAGCTGAAGCTCATCGAATGCTTGTAGAAATTTATGGTGATAGTGCTCCTACCGATAAAATATGCACAGAATGATTTCAACACTTTCAAACTGCCAAGTTTGATGTAGAGGATAAAGAGCGTTCTGGACAGCCAAGAGCATTTGAAGATAAAGAATTGCAGGCATTAGTGGATGAAGACCCATGTCAAACGCAAAAACAACTTGCAGAAGCATTACATTGGGCTCAATTTATTATTTCCGATCCTTTAAAAACCTTAGGAAAGGTTTATAAACAAGAAAAATGGGTCCCATGAACTGAAGCCAAAGAGACATTGAAAGGCGAAAAATCATCTGCGAAATTCTGTTTGCTAGGTAACAAAAAAGGGGTTTTTGCGTCGAATTGTGACTGGCGATGAAAAGTGGATCTATTTCGATAACTCCAAACACCGAAAAACCATTTGCGATCCAGCCTAATCATCGACATCGACGCCAAAACGAAATATTCATGGGAAGAAGACCATGCTCTGCATTTGGTGGGACCAGAATGATGTAGTGTATCACGAGCTATTGAAATCTGATCAAACAGTCACAGGAAATCTCTACCGAGAACAAATAATCCGTTTGAGCCGAGCATTGCTCGAAAAACGGCCAGAATATGGAACAAGATAGTATAAAGTGATTTTGCTTCATGACAACGCTCGACCTCACGTCACTAAGGCTGTTAAGAAAACATTAGAAGCACTTCACTGAGAAGTGTTACCTCATGCAGCTTATTCATCAGACTATGCCCTGTCACTTATTTCGGTCGATGGCACACGCACTTGCTGATAAACGCTTATGAAGAAGTCGAAAAATGGGTCTCTGACTGGATAGCCTCCAAGGATGAGTCATTCTTTCGCCGCGGAATTTGCTTGCTGCCCGAAAGATGGGAAAGTCATTGCTAAAGATCCTCTTAAATTTATTATTACATTGCAATTATACGAGCAATTTTTAATGTTGTACTTAATATAGAGACAATAATTATATGTGTTAATAGAAAATGATGATAAAGATGATAGTTCAATGGATAGTCCACCTAATCGTAATGCAGAGAAGGGCTGGAGTCTTTGGGATTTAGTGCGAGGTGGTTGGAACACTAGAGAAGGTCCATCTTCGCCAACACCAGATTCAAATATATCAATCCGTCCAGGTCAAGGTAATTATATAGACATTATTATAACATACCGAAAGTATCATAAATTATATACATATATTTTTTTACGTCATTAGAATTAGCACAACGATTGGATTATGTGCTCCGTGCTGTTGGTTTAGGAAGAAATTATTTGTATACTGTAACAGCACATACAGCATATTGGAATAACTACGACGTAGCCTATTTCGTATTAACAAGACTTTTCCCGATGCTGGAAACTTGATGGTGGTTTAAACAGCGCAGTTTAACAGCGCAGAGTTCCAGCAGTTTCTGCTAAGATGTTAGGCCCGTATTTATAGTCGTTTCTCAAATCTCATCTCAAGAGCGTATCAGGCGAGATACTCAGAATGGAATCGATATCGAAAAGAGCGATTAAAGCTACGTTTTTTACCTATTTGAAAGTAACCTTTCCGAAATTAAATTACTGATACGTCAATATGACACATGTACATAATATAAAAATGGAACAAGCTAATATATTTACACAAAAAAAGAATAATTTCACTACTTTTCACTATTTTTGTCAAGGTTTATTAATACGTATTATGAGATCTTGTATCAAAACTCGACTGAATCGTGAAAAAGAATATTCAAATTATATCTCAAGACAAATTTCATTTGAGTTCCTCGTTTGAATCATAATTACAAATATGAAATAAATCAACTCTCAAGATTCGTTTATTGAACTCCACGACTCAAAATTAGTTTCAGTTAAGTTTCTTAGCAGAAACACGACTATAAATATGGGCCCTAGTCCATTGTAGGCCTTTTCTAGAACGTGATATCGTAAATAGGTCTGTTACCAAAACAATCTGTGATAACGAAAAATGATACAATAATGTTGCAAATTTTATGAAAACCTATCATTTTATATAATTTGTATAATTTAGTAATCGCTAATCGCTGTATCAAATTATACGGAGACGAACATTGTCTTTACTCGTTTTGGAAAATAATTGTTTGTATTAAGCAGTAAGATAATCGACATTTGTACGTAACATAATAAATTCTGTATCAGGAGCTCGTGGAAAAAAATGGTAAGTTTTATGAAATTTTACGTTACCATCTAATACAGTATATAAATATGCTGGATATTTAAATTAAGTATAATATTTTATAAAACTCTATGATTTGTTATGACACGGCTGGCAAGCAGTTTTCGAATAACATTCTACAATAAGCTGTTACTTAAAATTTTAAGTTGTGAGAAATTGATCAGTCACAGTCGAATGTGGAAAAAATAATTGATTACGATTGATCAATTTCTTACGCCTTAAAACTTCAGCTTATTGTAATGGCTTGTTGTAGAAAAAGTCCACAACTGTACATTAGAGTGATAACTAATATATTCTGTATGTTGATTGCCATATGTATAAGTTATTTGTTATCGCCATATATATAAATAACGTATTTTTAAGATTAGTGCTACACAAGTAGATATGTTATTGATCTTACAATGGAATGAAGTAAGATATTGTAATGTTTACGAATTTTTCTTACATGTATATTTGTCATTAATCGATTTACGAATGTACATTCAGAAGTATTCACATAATGTATAAGTATTCGAATAATACAAAAACATGAGACACTATATAACCTAGATTTTTGAATAATACATAATTTAATATACGATATTTACAAATACTTTGATATATAGCTTTATATCTTTCTAATTCATACAGGAGAAATACCAGGGTGACGGCCGAAAAAAGGCTATCTTCATTAATTTTTTTTGTAAAAATTAATAGCTTGTATGAATTATTGGTACATTTCTGAAATTATTTAAAAAATTTGAAAAATAAAAAAAAAATATTCATTGAATAATATTAATATTTATAGCCTTAGTGCTCATTGATGTGCACCTCGTCTGAAAAAATATGGGTGTGCTCGTGCTCCGTCTGAATGGGGGAGCTCTGAAATAAATTTTTTTTTTAATTTTAAAGTATAATATGAGTGTAGTTTCAGTTAAGTGTACAGATTTTTTTATAAAATAATTTTAGACAAAATAGCGCTGTTTTAAAAAAAGAGGTCCCGATTTTGCGAAAAAAATCGTTATTTTTTTATATTGTTTTTCAAAAACTAATAATCCGATTGAAAAATTCGTACGCTTAACTAAGGACAATTTTTGTTGTAAATATTCTGTCCAAAATTTAAATGATTCGAATAAAAATTGGCTGAGATATGTGAGCGCCTAATTACGATCTCGAGAAAAACGTGTTTAAAGTTTTACAATCGATTAATTTATGTAAACGATAAAATTTCGTAACAAACCAAAGTGCGTCCAATCTGGGTACATATTCTGTATTCTACATATCCTGTAGCAATAGCAACTTCTTTGGTCTCGTTTCTGCTTTGTTTTCTTCGCAATCTTTCTCACGTGCCGCCGCTTGCGCTCGGAGGTCTGCAAGTGAAAGCTGTTGCTTTGTCGCGAAATTATGATGCTGACAATTCAATTCTAACTTCCAGCAGTTCCATCATTTTTAATACATCGGTATATTTATTATTAAAAATACAGAGATATATGCAGCGATTTCTAAAACTGTAGCTCCACTTGATCCCTGGTAGAACAAAGTAATGGCGCAATATTGGGAAATAAATTTATAACCAATAATAAACATTGAATAAGAATTGCACACCCAATATTAACCAACATATTGGGTACACAATTTTTACTAAGTGTTTTAAAGTGGCTATATATTGTTTGAAATAATAGGAGAGTTGTTGAGGAGAATAATCGGGATGTAGTGCAATCTTCATGGTTCACCGTACCTTTCGTAAGAGGTGTTACTGAGAAGTTCAACAGATTGAACAACAGTCATTTAAGGGTATCATATTACAGTAGTAATAAATTGCGTGAATTTATTAGAGTGCATAAAGATCCTTTGCCGCGTGAAAAGAGAAGTCAATAGTTTATAAAATTTCTTGTAAGAATTGCGATGCAAATTATGTGGGACAAACGTGTTGTAGACAACTAAAGTCGAGAATTGCGGAACATAAAAATCATATCAGATGGAACACGTCCACCTGGAGCGTCATAACGGAGCATCGGCTGCATGAGGATCATGAATTTGATTGGGATGACGTCAGAATATTGGATAAGGAACCACACTATGGAAAAAGACTGATTTCGGAAACGATATCTATCAGGAGACACGGACTTAATTTACAAACGGACATGGAGGGGCTTCCCAAGGTCTACTTCCCGATCATAGACAGGTTATAAATATAGCGTTATTGTCTGTCTAGTCAGTCTCACTTGTGCACAGTGGTTAAGTCTTAGCATTTGATATTTGTGATTTGATAATTTAATTTAATACTGTCAAGCAATTTGTTGTGATTCACTGTGTCTGAGACTGATTGGCCTAAATTATTCTGAAGATTGGTTTTAAGAATGTTTGCAATACGGTATCGTTGTGAACATAGTGAGCCTCCTCACTCCCGGTAAAATAATTGTAATTATGACAAATCTATTTTCGAAATTATTTTTCTAGGAAATTCTGGGAAATTATTTTTTCCCAGAATTTCAGCTTTCTATTTATTTCTTTCTCTTCTTCTTTAATTATTCATATTAGTGAGTTCTGTAAGATGAAATTGACATCAGATTTTATTTTTCGGTTGTGGGGGAGCTCACTATGATTAAACATCATTTGATACTTTATGTTATTTTTAATTTATAATTTATTTTTGTAATTTACATTGTCTCTGAAGAAGGCTCCAAAATGAGCCGAAACATGTAAGCACAATTGTTATAATAAATAAGTTTTGCTCGATATATATAGGTACAATAATAATTATATATACTTTTATAAAGTACGATATTTACAATATACAACTGCACTCCAGTTAAACTACAGAGACAACTTGCTTTAATTGAAAGTCAGATTCCAGACGATCCAATCGTATTTCTGCTAATTGTGCAATTTGATTCCCATGTATTATTCCTTTTTTTTCTCGAATAGATTTCATTATTTTTCTAATACAATCATAAAAACTTAAATGATTCCCACAAGTTTTGAAAATTCTACAAAATTCTTGTATGAACCATGACCCTGAAAAAAATGAAAAAAATATAAGATTAACATTAAAACATTAGAGTGACGACCAAACTTGATTGATCTTAATAAAACAGATTTTCAATTTCAAATAAAATATTACAGTAAGGAAACATTACATATACGAGGGCAAGTCAATATAAGTTCTTAGAAAATCTGTCAGAGGGCACTCGCAGTGTTATGTCACATTACTTTTTGACAAGTAGCATGTTCAGCTGATTACTGTCAAATTTTGAGCAGAATTCATCGAGAGGTTTCATTTCTGAAGACGATTAAAGCGGAGAGGTGTTTTTCTTTACTATGATCTATATTTTACAATTGTAGATTAAATCCAAGTTTTCCATTAGTAACTTACCCTATTGCTCCTTAAAAAATATCAAATTCAACTTTTCTTCTTAACATATCACAAACATTACTATATAAAATTACTAACAAAATAGTGCTTCATTAAGTTATTAATCTAATTTTCAATGTACGCGCATGCTTTCAAAGCTTCATCTAAAATCATCATAAAATTCATCGTTACCGACAAAGTTCTTGCTCATATTTTTGCGGGAAATATTTATTTCTTCCTTTCTTATGATTAAATTTTTTTTTGGAAGAAAAAAATGATAAAAATTCCAAATCAGTTCTAAAATTGTAAAGATTCCAAGAGTTTTTGAGGGTACTTGAATTCCAGAATTCAACAATTTTAAGGATCGCTGGATACCCTGCTATATAAAAGAAAAATATTGATCTCTATAAAATACAGCTCAATTATTTACCTTCCTCTTTATGACGTATTGATAGAAAACCTTGTATTGTCGACATAAACATAAAAAAGTTTCTAAATTGGCGTATATCTTCTATGGGTGTAAAAGAATCATATAAACCATCTGTCGTCAAGGAATTGCTTATAGTTCCTAGAAGTAAAATCTGCTATATAATACTCCTTTAATAACATATTTTACAATATGTGAATTGCAAATAAGAAAAATAAACTTAATGTACAGAAGCATCTGGTAACTGTAAACTACGTTGTACATCTTTTAAAATTATATAATATAAAGACTAATAAACAAATCATTGAAATCTTTAAAATATTTTTTGTAACACGCTATATTAAATTTGTTCAAAAGTATGATATTTTTATAATAACTTTAACTTTTTTTACCACGTGTCTTTCCTTGACAGGCTTGAATGATAACAATTTTTATAACATCTTTTAGTTCCATACAACAAAGAGTCCTTTCTATTGTTTCCAGAGAAACTTCTGTTTCATCTGATGCAATTATGCCTCCTACAATAAGAAAACTCCTTATTTGCTGATCATTAAATTAATCTTAACTATAAATTAACTATTAAAAAAATTAATATGTTAACAATCCAGTTGACTCATATTATTTCAGCTTGTAATGTTAGAATCGAAAAAATATACATTTACAATTCTTGCGAACTATGTTGATATGGAAATATATTTCAATAAAACACTTACAGTCAATAAAACTGACTTGTAACACATACAAAAACTCTTTTTTCTTGGTTAATTAATATATAATCATCCCATTCAGCACATAATTTCAAGAGACGTTCGAAAGACGTCTGCAATTTTATTGATTTAATAATACAATTTTATATACAAATAACATTTTATGACGGCTCACAAAGGCAATTTTTCCTTTTCCAACATTTTAATATTTTATATTTTAATATTAAAGTCCCATTCTTGGCTATTTTTGTAAAGTTGAAGTGTAAATAAATACTACTATTTTAATATTGAAGTCCTTAATTCATTTATGTATTAATTCTTATTGTGTTTTTCACTTCTGATATCATAATTTAAGATAATAATAACAGACATGCAGCATAATATGATCTTATTACGATTATTTTATTGAGATATTATTTATAATTTTAAGTAAAAAAGTTTAAATTCAAAAATTTTTTTATTATTTATATATTAGGAGTACAAGTTAGTTCGGTCCAAATCGCCTTTAAAGACGAGTCATTTTTTCGAGATGGAATTCGAAAATTGCCTGAGAGATGGGAAAAAGTAATAGCCAGCGATGGACAATACTTTAATTGGTCTGTTCATTCATTTTGTTTTGAAATAAATGCATTTTTTTTTTAACACAAAAAATGAACCGAACTAATTTGTACACCTAAAATATATGTATGACTCACCTTTATATCCATGACTCAAAATACAAAGAAATAAACAATCATACTTTTCATCATAGTTTTTCGAAATGTTTTTCATTTTCTCTAACATTTCATTTTTCTTCAGATTTTGAAGTATCTCGACTCTGAATCCGAAAATTTTTAATGTTTCTGATAGATTGATACAATCTGCTGTTGTTCCAAATCGTGTTTCATACTAAAAAGATAAAAATATAGAAAATATATAATTTTCATTTTTCATCATTGATTAAAATAATACCTCTTTCATAAAATACATCTGATTTATGATAATACACAATCCGCTGTTAATTAATTGTATTTTTTTTTTATAATGATGTCTTTTGATAGAACACGATTCTTCTGAAGGAGTTGATTGTAAGTAATTTTCATCATTTTTTTCAAAAGTTCGACGATTATCAACATGTAGACCATTCTCAAATTTCTCCAATTCTATACATATTATTTTTAAATGGCCATCTTCAAATTTTTTCAAATGTTTTAATAACCTTTTCATATTATACGATTTATCTAAAATAGAATAATATAAAAAATTGTTTTTAATCACATATATTAATAATAGATAAGTATAACTGGCACCTTCGTGAACCTGGCAACCGACTATAAAAAAATTAAAATATTTTTACACAAAATAATAGTATTTTGTTTGTAATGACAATAATTTTCTTTTGCAGTTACTTGTATTAAAAAATATAAAGGTTTAAACGGCTCACAACTACAAATAAAAGCAAAATCACTACAAACAACTACAAACGATTCTGAATCGAAATATATTATTATTTTTTTAATGTCGCGTGACAGTCATTTTATTAAACCTTCATATTTTTTAATACAAATAACTACAAACGAAATTATTGTTACTACAAACAACTATAAACGAAATACTATCATTTTGTGTAAAAAAATTTTAATTTTTTTTATAATCAGGTGCCAGGTTTACGAAGGTATAACTGACTTGTGTTTAATAGATTATACATATATATGTATATGTGTATATTTTTTCTGAACATACCTTTTGAAATTGTTATATATCCAATTTGTATCCAATAAAGCATATGTAATTCAAGATAATCTACATTGTCCAATAATGGTTCATAATTATGGTTTTCAGATTTAACATAGTCCAATAATAATTTTTGTTCACTTTCATTCAATGATTCACATAATTTATATAAACATTTTGCGATTACATTTATACTTCTTGAATATGATGTAAGCTTTGGAATATACTGTAAATCTAGAACATCAAATGATATTCCTAGCTTCTTTAGTACTTGTCGATTATTCAAAATACACAATGCTTCTAAGATTTTCTCTTCCCAATTTTTTGGATGATTTTTTACATAATCTACAATTATGTACATATTTTCCATCTTTATTTTCAAAAGTTCAAAAATATCATTAAATCCATCTTCATAATTGATTATCATGAATAATATAGAAATCTTCTCGTCTATATCAAGGTCATCTTCTATTTGTTTCAAAATGTTTATGTTTATAATTGTTTTTGCTACACTGTATGTAATTGTATTCATCGATAATGACATCCTATTATCATTAATGATATTCCCATTTACCTGAAATATACTATTAAATAAATATTATTAGTAGTGATTAACAAACTGTCCATTTAATCAATATATAAAAAATGCATCGATTAAGCCTAATTTTATAGGAATTTAGATAAAGACGAAGTCATGTTTAAGCATCTATTTAAAAGAAATGTTGGATTTAAACTTTAATCCATATTACAAAAATTAAAAAGATATAAATTTTAAATAACATAAGCTATATCCTTTGCTCTAAAAATAAATCCTCTACTTTAAAAACAATCCTGTGCGCACATACACACACCCACACACACATACACGCACACAAATATTCACTACTTTTAATACACAAATTTACTACTTCAAAAAGATAAATTTTCTTATATTATATATTTTTGTGTTTTTAAAATTTGGTAAAGGTAAAATATAGGGCAATCCTCTTAAAAATCGATTAAATTAGACTCATTCGACGCGTTTTTGCATAAAACGAAAGAATTTCGCAGAAATAAGCGTCGCTCTGGCCCGCGAACCGAGATATTAAGCGTTAAAGTTGACGATTATTGAGGTTAGAATATATGTCATGGTCACGTAACACTGCGATGTAAGCATGCGCTGCGGTCACATTTTCATACTGTATGACCACACGCGCATGCGTTTTCATAAGTATGCGTCCGTCAAAGAAAATAGCCGCTGTCCATCTCTCCCTCCCACCCCTGCTGAGGGGCGGACGACTTCTACGATTGTACACCCACGGTAATTAATTCTGTCCCTCGGAAAATTTCACAAAATAAAAAATGACCACCTTTCTATATTAATTGTCACAATCCATGCACGATTAACGTTACGACTGAACCTTATCGTGCATGAATAGTGACAATTAATATAGAAAGGAGGTCACTTTTCATTTTGTGAAAATTTCCGAGGGACAGAATTAATTACCGTGGGTGTACTGTCGGGGCAGACCTCTGACGACGGTGTGGGTGCGGGGGGGTGGTCGAAGGCCGTAGGCCACCCCCTTGCACCCGCCCGTGTGTGTGTGTGTGTGTGTTCCATTCGTTATATAACGATTATGAGTTTATACTTGATATTTTACCCACACACACACACACGGGCGGGTGCAAGGGGGTGGCCTACGGCTTTCGGCCTTCGGCCACCACCCCGCACCC